TGTTTTCATTCATCAATGATTTCATTTTTCATCAGTTGATTTTTTTTTCTTCTCTTTACTATTTCCATTTGCTGTCCGCTGCTACATGCTACATATATTACAATACAATCGTGAATATGTGAGATTTATATTGCGAATGGTTTGTTTATTTATACTGATCACATCAAATGAATTGAGGGGAAAAGGAATGAACAATTTTAAGTGTAATGCTCTCCTTTCCCATCCAGCTGCTTACAAAAATAATAAATATTGTAGAATTTTAAAGTACTCGAAATTAATAATTTATTAATACATTTTTTCATCTTGCAGTATTTCTTATTTTTTTCGTCAATTCCTTTAATAATTTTCGAGTTATTGTAATTTTTTAAATGGATTTGTTGAGCGGAAATACGAATAGTTAAAAATGCACTAAAGGGACCATTCATTTTTCATGTGTTTAACTTTTTAAGGTGAAAGTAAAATTTTGCCTGTGGACGACAAGCTTAATGTGACAAAAAAAATTTAATTAAAATGTTGATTTGAAAATCCAATTCTACAATAAACCTCATTTTTAAACGACCCTTTTGCTTTTATTTGAACAAAAAAAAATCTAATTTTTAGTGAAATTTCTTGATTTTGATTGATGAATTTCAATGTTGGACACCCAACTGCGCAGTTTTGATTGAAATAGATTTATAGGTTTTTAGAGTTGTTGAAAAATAAAGACAAGTTCTTATTGAATTTATTGTGGTTATTGATGTAAAATATACATTGCAATGAGATATTTTCGAGGAAAGCTTTTGCATGCTGTTTGATGATTTATGTCTTCTTTTACCAAATACCTTTTTTATATGTTTAAAGCAGTTTGAAGTCTTAATCGATCGAATGCAATTTTTTTTTATAATTTATGAACTTATAAAATACTTTATTTTTATTCAAAAATTTTTTGTAAATTAAAAATTGAATCGTACATTTGAAGGTTTTGGCGACAACTAAGTGTGTTGCAGAGTATAGATTAAGAGATCTACTATAAAAGAATGACCAACTTCAGAAAAATGGAAAATTCGTTTTTCTTTAACATTCGACGTTTTTTGACGGAGACATAAAGTTCAAATATCCTGAAATATAAAGACATGATAGCTCAATATAAGCATCCTTTTGATTACATTAAAGAAAAAATATGAAAATGAAAAATGTAGAAAATTTCATCTTTGCTTTGTTTTTTCAGCCTCAGAGCATAAAAAATTATTTTCTTTATTGCGGAAAAAAACCTCATCAAGTTCTTAAAATTTGTTTTTCCAGACAAAAATGCGAACGATACAAAATCTAAACAATGAGATTGATTCCATGGGTTTGCTTTGGATGGAAGAAAAATGATTAAAAAAATTTAATGTTTTTTTTCTTTAAATGTGCAAACTAAGATTAAAGAATATCAAATTTATACAGGAGTTGTTCAGTTGTTACGTAACACAAAAACTTTATTTTTGAATAAATTGTAATAAAATCTTATACTCCATAAAGAATTACGTAATAAATGACTGCCTATAACTGAACTGCTTTAATAGATTTTCAAATTCATTTTCTTTAATATTAATCATTAATTTAAAGAAACTTTGAAATTCTATAACAAAGTCTTAAAAGGTTCAGATATGCTAAATTTTATAGAACCTTAAATTCATCACAATTTAGCAATCCTTTCGGACCATATTTATTTTGTGTGTTTTCGACATAAACTATTTATTATTTTCGAATGAAAACAAATCAGACCATTAGCCACAATTTCTCTGCTCAATATTTCTTTGATCTACAAAAAAATAAATCGATTAAATAATCGAATCAAGTCATATGATTGCGTGTAAAGCAGCAGTCATAGACATACGTTTCACATGATAACACTAAATGACTACGCTTAGCATTTAATCCACATTTTGTGGCAATTTTAGTCACTCTGAATCATTTATCACACTCATAAAGCCAGTCTCATGCTTTCGCTTATGCTTTATATCAATTTAACGACTATCAAAGTTACAATGTTAGCAATAAGTAGTTGGAATTTTTCTAACCTCAATATAGTAATGCCGCAAATGAGCATTAAAAGGCTAGAAAAATTACAACATATTAGAAGTAATGATATCAATTGATAGTGAATGATCTGAAAATGAACAGACTTCTAATTAGTTTATTTTGGAATGCAGAATATAGAAAGTACTGGAAATAAAATCAATATGGTACGAAGCATTTAACATAACTTTGGATTTACCCATTCTTGGGCATTGATAGACTCCTTACCAAACTAAGAGAATTATGGTTGGAGATACTTTAAAACCTCAATATTGTTACAATAAATTTTCACATAATTTTAATTTTTCCGTTTAAAGAAGAATTTATTTCCGTTTTTCATTCACATGAAGAGGAAAAGACAGAAATGTCATCAAATATGTGCATAACGTAGATATGTATCTATAACAAATCAATAAACTTTTTACAACAACACTTAATGTGTATATGTCTGTATACATTGAATGTGCTAAAATAATTTGTCCCTTATATTCCGGTTACATGAGATCATGTAAACAATTTTTCTTTTACACTCCACCTATTAAATTTCCACACATACATATGTACACATAGGCTCGCAAATTATTATGTACACGCAAGAAAAGTTTAACCTCATTCTATATCTCTATATGTATAACTACATTCAGCCCTATTTTATGTGTCTCCTCAATCATCTTTCATTCTTTCTCTTCTTCTATCTACAGCGACTATCTCAATAAGACTCACAGAGATTCTCGATGCTGATGAAAATCGTTTTCAATGCTTTTGCTCTGCTCTTTGCTTCTTATTCGTCTGTTTCGATCGCTTTCAATCATATTTCTTTGTTTTGCTTCTTGTCAGACGTCCTTGAGTATAATTTATGAGATTTTTAAGGAATTTAAACATTTCAAAAAAAAAAACAAGTAAGTAACTTGAAGAAGACATGGGATTTGATATCTCAAAAGATTCAACCGTACAATGAATATCTCCTGAAATGTTTATAAGGGATGAAATAAAGATAAATTGCGTTTATCATAGCGAAAAAAAGAAATATAAAGGAAAAAGTGTGTGAGTGAACATACAAGAACGTTTACTACTATTGCATGTCGAAAGGTTATTTTCATCACATCGTATTGTGAAAAAAAAACACTGTTTTGGATGCTCGCAATTTAATCAATATAAGGGCTTTTTATGAGGTGCTATTAAATCGAAATGAATATTTTTATGGGAAAGTTTATTTGTAGATAATAAATAAAGAGGGGGGAAAAATTGATGTGTAGGGAAAAATAATTCGTGGAAAATTTGTCATCATTTTTTCTCACTTGACTTTGATGTTGATCTGATGTCATCGAATTTATGTTCGATAGTTTTGATCATAATAAAGTGATAATTTTATGTTGATTGGATAATTGATTAATCGTCAGATGGGCGATTCCATGAGTGAGTTTTTTTTTCTCAACTCAATTTTTTGTAAATATTTCCTTAATTAACTTCATTTAACCCCATATTTAAGATTTATTTTATTTATTATTATGGTATTTATGTATTTTAGTGCATAATCTTTTAGTTAAATCTGTCTGACAAAAGATATTTTAAAAAAACCAAACTTAATCGGTCAACTTTACGAAAAATTGATTTTTAAATTTTCATCAATATTTCTTTGAATATCCATTGTTGTGTTACAAATCTATGATAAGCACACGTGAAATCGCCTGTGCTTTATAACAATATCTTATTTGTTTGTCTTTCTACTGTAATTAAGGAGAAAATTGGGGAAAACACCACTTAATCGGTCAACTTTCAACCGATTATTGCAAAACATATTACATATTTTTGTCAAAATGCAGCATAATTAAGACGATTAAATGCTAATAACACATGAATTGATGAATAATAAGTCTTATTTAGTGAAAAGATATGTTGAAATATGTATATTTAAGCAGAAAAAGCTAAAAAAGTTTTTGAACAAAAAATTTTCAGTTCCATTTACCCATGGAATCGCCCAGATATAATAGAACAAGTCACCTTACATGTTCAATCTCATCTTTATGTAATAATAATTTATTAAGAAACAAGGGTTAAAGCATCCATTAGCTACTATCGCTTTGATAATTGAATCACTATTTATTAGAATCAATATAATAAAGCCTAGACATTGAGCAATTGATACACAAAGAGGCTACTGATTCGATATTTAACCAAAATGATGCAAGCTTCAAACTAGATTTCAGTTGGTTTTCAATGACATTTTTCATTAAACAGAATTAGATTTTTAAATGTCCTTAAACAATGATATGTGCTAGTTCCCCGATCATCACACATTGATATTCATTGAAATGTTTGCCACCCGACAGCCGGGTTGATAGTATAATTAGAACTAAGCTGCAACCGCTTGGAAGCAACTTTCAACTGGATGACAAGCTGTTGCCGGGTGGCAAACATTTCAATTTTATCGGGTTCATAGTGTATCGTACTTTAAAAAGACGTCTGAAATCATGAACCTGTTCCCCTTGCATTGCATACCGGCATCGACCAATATAATTCAACAATTTGTCATCAAACAGTAAATTTTAGTCATATTTCTTGAGCATATTACATATAGGATGTAATATATACACACAATAAAAAATATTTTCCGAAATGTATCTAAACATAAAATGATACATATCATCGCACGTTGTCTAAGAATAAAATGTGGAAGGAAGGAGAAGTAAAATGACGTATAGTTTATATTACAATCAATTACAAATGAATAAAGAGAGTAGAGAGGAAAATGAAATTGAATGCTTTTTTCTTCTTTCTGTTCTGCTATCGCGTGTTCCTCATAAAATCTATAATGTCACTATTGATACGAATTTGTCATGAAATTTCTTAATTTGTTTGTGTTTATGGCTTTTGGACGTTAATTCTAATTTTATTTTCTAATTTTGATCGAACACTTTAAATTTGCATATTAATTAAATTTTGATTTTTCTTCATTTCAGGGTTCATGTACAGCCGGAACACTGCCAGTGGCATGGATTAATGAAGGCCCAGGGCCACCGATGCAGTGCCCGCAATCATGTCAACATAATCATCGTTATAATCAAAATACATTAAAAACTTCTAATGATAATAAAAATACTAATAATTATAATAATAATAATAATAATAAAATAAACAAGAATAATAACAATAATTTTAGTAATAATAATAATAATAACATGAATTATAATGATATAAATATGGAGAACCGGTTAAAAGAAAATCGACAGTGCCTTGACTATTTGGGGGGCGATAATAATGATGAATATAGTCCATCTAAAATATGTAATGTAAAATCATCAAGTGATATTGAGACCAAATTGAAATCGATACGTTTAAGACATTGCTGTGAACGTGATGTTGCGAGTGCATTACATAATGATGCATATATTGATGTATTGAATGGAGGTGCTGCCTGCAAAATGCGTCTCAACGAACTTATTGAAGCTGATAGCTTGGCAGAGCGTTTAACTTGTGAATTTATGGAAATTTTAGTTAGATACGATTGCGTTTCTCGATATTCGTTAATTCATCGCTGTGGAGATTGTAAAGTAAGTACATTGAAATTTTCTTTCACATTCCCGAATAGCACATGTCGGTTAATCGAATAGAAATCCAGCGCAAATCCGGCATGACTCTTGGATGGTGCTGGGTTCGATTTAAATCCAGCACAATGCCAGAGTCACACTAGCTTGGTGTCGGATTTCTGATCGATTAACCGACTTATGCCCTTAGGGATTCCCCTTTTACTAAAGTGAGCATCAATTGATTAAATATCAAGGAACGGATGTTTAAATCAAAATTTAATTAATTCTTATTTTGATCATTTTCTGCAAGAATTTGTAGAATCTCTACAAAAATAAATGACTAAGTTAATGCCATTCGAAGTGTCAAAAAAAAAAATAAAAAGAATCAAAATATAACTTAATAACCTTGTAGCAAAAATGTGGTTAAAAAAATTGAGGAGGAGATTGATTGTGGAAAAAATTTATTTCGTGCGGTTCCACCTCCTTCCTCATCACTTTTTTATGATATGTTTATTGAGAATTGAGAGTGGCACTGTTGCTAAAGCACTTGTGGTCAGCTAAAGGCTATTGAATATGTGGAATCAATAGTGAAGTTGAATGTATGCTGTGAGAAAGAATAAATAACATAAAAGATTGAAATTACAAGCTCTAATTGTTCCACTGAGAAATGCTATGCTTTATATCTGTCAATAATTGATTATTATTTTTTGTTCAGTAATTTTTTTTTAAATTAACTTCCTGTGTATTTTTTAATTTAATGATATATACACAATGAGTAGACAGGAAGAAAACATTTATTGGCCTAGTAAAAAAATTATTTTTTGAAGGTTTACATTGATATCATTTAAATAGTTTAGCAGACATGATTCTTAGACATCACAACTTATTGTTTATTAAAGGAATGGTTGTGCTATTTTAAAAATGAACAATTTAAATGTTTGTCAGGATGCTTGAGCATGTTTTAAACTAATTGAATTTAAATATTCATAAATTCGAATAAATTCACAACAATAAGTCATCAGTGACTACAAAAAAGTATATATTCCAATTAGTTTTTATAGTTTTTCATTAGCAATCCGACCGTTCACAAAATTTCTCCAAACTTATTGAAATTCGAAGGATCTACAAAAAAAGAAGTTTCATACGTAAGCGAAAAAGAAAATAGAAAAATGTTCTGCCTTCACCTTCTTGACGTTTTTCTACTCAATTTTTCTCTCTCTTGTTTCAAATTCAATTTTCCTCACAATAAAATCTAGGTCGTAACGAGACGCAAAAATAGAGAGGAATTGCAAAACGGACAAAAGAAGGAAAAGGAGGATTGAAATTCATTAAAAACGATGAATTTATTTTATGGCAGTTTCTTGCTGATCTTGAGATTTGGTTGCATATATTTTTTGAATTAAATTTGTCTACAACTACCTCAGAATCTGAGATTTATTCTGAAGCTCAAATTCAAAAATTAATTGTTACTGTCGTTTGAAAATCATCAGCATCCTTTTTTTGGTAGGATTTAATTCTACCTGGATATTCAGAATTTGTTAAAAAATTACGTCAATCTTTTGAATTGTTGATATCCAATCCAGCTTCATTCATCCCAAAAGGACAGTACACAATTCTCGGTTGAGTTAAATTCATACGCATTTTTTGTCACAACTTCATTCATCATTTTTCATCCAATTTCTTACAAAATTTAAAAGCAACTGCACGCACAGAAAGTAACAAAAAGGGAAAAAATACGGAAAGTAAGTGACGAAAATGAAAACCTAAGAATGAAATATTATTTAAAGCATAATGTGGAGCGATAATCATCATCGTGATCCCAAGTTTACTCCTTTTTTTTCTTGGTTATATAAAAAGGATAAAGTTTCCCTTTTTTTTTATTTGGCATTTCTTCTGATTCTCTTATGCATCAACAACCCTTATAAAGTAAAAGAGAATTTTCTTTGTGTTCTGACTTTTCAAGAAAAAGAAGTCAAAAAATAATTTGTTCAATGTAATATTCAAATGAAATGGAAGTGGACTTAAAGAAGCTAGAAACATAAAGGCATGTAGCATTTTATAGGATTTGTAGGAATTACTTTTTTACACGACTTTATTGTTTCAATTATGAGTTTTCACTCAATTTGTAATTTTTCACTGTGTTGTGCGTGCTACACAAATGTAAGCTATAAAAATATTGAAGCAAGTTTAGACATCATTTGTTTGATATCACAAAAGTACTCGAAATATGAAAATATTTTGTAGCATCAGAATTTTATGCAAATTTATTAAATTAGGTACGGAGATTGTTTATTTTTGCACATCATCTGCATATTTCCATAGCTTTTTGTATCTTCTTGTGCTTAACACGTGTCTGTAAAGAACACGGTAGTAGATCCTGGCTTCTGACAACAATTCAATGTTATGAAATCGAATTTATTCGTTCATTATTCTTATTTTTATAAAATTCACTTTTGTCGACTTCACAAAGAAAATTATATTTATTTACTTTAAAAATACTAAAATAACTACTCAGTTACTGAATATGTATATGGTCTTTCATACTTTTACATACATGTAATTTACCCTTATCCTTTTCACTTACGCTATGTGAAGATGTAATTTTATATTATTACTTCTTAAATGCCTAAATTGTAACTGATGGGGATGCTATATTAGTGGGATGTTCAGTAACCATGGAGAAATGTTTCATTTGAATATAAGATAGCATTTGGCAAATGGTAAGAAACAGTCATCTTTCAAACTTTAAGGGATGTAGATTTTGAGGGTTCAAGGTTTTCATAGTTCATATAATTCTATATAATTTATTGAATGTTAAATGTTTTGATTGTAGATTTTTGACATTTTTGTGACTTCGAGGGGGGATGGCAAACCCCTGCCAATTTAAAATATTTCCCAAACTATAAACAATATGGTTTGGTGTGAAAAAAAAACTTTTACCTATTCTGATTAATTGTGATCCAGAGGTACGCTAGGGCGTTTGGCAGAAAATGAGAGTTTAACGAGTAAGGATGCGCCAAACCACTGCACTTAAACCTAGACCTACAATTTATAGTGGGATCCCAACCACTCCTTTGATGACATTTCTGTCTGTAGCTTTAAAGGAAGGCTGCGAGCCTCATTTCCAGTACATATGATTCGAAAAAGGGCAAGAGTAAAATTTCACGGTCGGATTTGTGAGAAAGGAGGTGAATTTCCTGCTCCTAGCTACGACACTGGGTCACTTAAGTAGACTGAACTGTACAAAAGAAAAAAATCAATTTCATCCTGTAAAAGAAGACTCAATTAAATCAAATTTATTTCCAATTAAAAATTGATTTATGTCTCTTCTTTCATCGAAAGTAATCTTAGCTCAGTTTGAGTTCCTCTCCTTTTAAACGACATAAGATACTTCTTCTCTCTTGGAGGTTCTCAAAAATGTACATCATAAAATAAAATTCAATTATTATATTTCAGTATAAAGATTTACAACGAAAATACTTCCTCTATCATCCCTTTTAGCTCATCCTTATGAATGCATTTCCTATCCTTCTTAAATTCCCATGACATCCAGCAACAACAATAAACCGCAAATGTGAAAAAATGCGAATGATATTTACTATAGCTGAGTATATATATATATTTTTGCAGATATTAAAGCTGAGGTCTTCTTCCTCTTCTCATTCATCTGCCTCTCCTTTCTTTTATTGTCATCAATTTTACTCTTTCCTTCCTCATTGCTCTATACGTATCTTGATCCACTACCATATTTAGATAATATATTTCTATCATTTTAGAGTCGTTGAGTGTTCCTTAAGGATTTATTCCACAAAATTACATTTAAAGCTTGCGGTTGGTAGGAGATAAAAGAAATTATTAGGGGAAATAAATGAAATTGTTAAATGATTTTAAGTGAGAGGGAGAAAACTAACGCTATAAAGAAATTGACAATGTCTCAGAATGGAAAATCTGTTGCGTAGGCTTACGTTGATGACAGCATAAGCTCGTAATGAGTTTTAAGGTATTTCTTTTCTTCGATTTCCATATAATTGTTCTTGTGCAAATAAATTATGTTGGATAATCTCAACTTCTTAAATAATACAAACTTACGACTGATGCACGTTTATAAACATGAGGAATAGAAACTGCTTAGAGATGTAAAATACAGGTTTTGAAAATTTAAATATTTTTTAATGACACAATGGCACATTAACGCCATTTTGAAGATTTGACTGCATGCTTGATTCCCATTAAGTCTCTCAGAGCACTAGTATGCCATTACACAAAATTGAAGAATTCAAAGTGTCCTAATTGGTCGTTCATAAATAATGTTTATCAGAAATATGGGCTTTTGAACCACCCCCTACTTTTTTCATGATCATACTAATTTTTGCAGAGCTCAAAGTTGACTTGAGTCGACTCGGGTTTTTTCGAGTAAACTCAACTTTTCTCTAGTCGACTTCATTTTTTTCGAGGCTATTTTTTTTGTATGAAGAAGTCCATATCGACTTCGAGCTCTGGATTTTTGCAAAACTCTCCTTACAAAATCTTCAATATTCTAAGTGAATAAACTTTTAAGTTGCCTTCTCTATACCAATTTAATCAAATATATTCCAAGCTAACCTTAAAACTATTTAGAAGTCGGTACATATTTCCAATAAAATATCTCGCTCAATATTTACTCAAGATATCGATAAAAAGTGAAACAAAAGGGGGAGATTGGAATGAAAAAAAATATTTGAGTTCTCTTCTTATCGCAAACATACAAAAAATTCCAATGTCCTTCACTTTCATCGACAAGCAATTGAAAATGAAATTGGGTGCGAAAAATTTGTAGTTTATTATGTAACAAAAGTGTTGAAAAAGCTGAAATAATTGAGTAAACTAACAATACTCAAAGATTTTATACAATTATTTGAACTTTTTTCAAAACTATAATGTTATATGACTATGTTTCGGTGTATGAGAGTCTCTTACATCTTTTTTTCTTCTTTATACACTCGTTTCTCGATTTTATGATAGTCGAGCGCATGCACAAAGAGAAGAAAAAAGATTTTCTGCAGCTATACAAGGAAAATGTCAAGGAATAACAACTTTTACCAAAGAAGTTGAAGGCATTTTATTCATTTAAAACCGAACTGAGTATTATTAATTCAATATTTCAAGAAGCTAATAAAATAATAAATCAATATTATTTTGTGTTAATTTATTAAATTTCAAATTGAAGAACAGTGTTCGTCCCTTTTAAAAAACTAATTCTAATAATAAAACTACCTTAGGGATCGTTCACTTATGACGTCCGAAATTAACGGCTATTTTTCAAAAAAAAAACAATGGATTTCCAGGAATTTCTATTGTTATTTTGTTTTTGACCCTCCTAACGTCATAAGTGAACGGCCCCTTAACGATAGCAGCAGATTAATTTATAATGATTGCCATTTTGTTAAGTAAATTTCTATTACTTAAATAACAAATTCAATTTCTTCTACCTTTTTCGATGAGGAAAAAACAGGAGATGGAGTAAAAGCGACAATTATCGACCTTTTTTTTAGTGATTAGCAGGTCATAAACTTGCACTTGACACTTTTAATTACGTTTTGCAAAGTGTTTATAGTGTAAGCATTAAATATAATAATTTGAATTAATTAAAACTTTTTTAACTTCTCCTCCCTCACTCATTCATTCCTAATTAATGCATTTCAATATGTGCACTTGCTTCATTCAAATTATAATTAAAGGACATATTTATAAAAGAAGAAAATCGATTTGGTTATTGATTAATGAAAAATTCATTGTTAATCAAAACAAAATTAAAAAAACTTCTTTTTCTTGAATAACAAGAAATCTATTTAATCTATTGTTTGATCAGTAAACAGCTCATTTTTAAAAACATACTTTAAAGATGCTTAAAAATTTTATTAATTACTATTTACACAAGCACACCTGTGATTATTAAACGATTATGTTTGCTGAATTGAAAAGTTTTGAAAAATCAAGAAAAAAATTGATTTGAAATAAATTTCCATGAACAAATTGTTTTACGCACGGTGTCATGTAAACAAATATAATTAATTCTCCTCATTAGTTTCTTTAGGGGTTGTTCAAAATTGACGTCTAATATTTTCAATAGTTTAAAGTTTTGTTTTTGCCTTTTTCGAGCTATAAATAAATAATTTTGTATCAAAAGAAATACAGATAATAATAATCTTAATTCTGTCCTTTTTATTGACTTATATGGGATCAACAGTTGAGGTACAAATTTGAGCATTTAAATTTTTTTTACAATTTTTCGATGTTCGATTTTACATTCCCTTGGCTATTCACATGAGTAAGACGATACACTCTACGAATTTTTAAATTCAATGAATCTTAAAGAGCGACTAATGTAGCAATAAGCAGTTTATTAGTATTTAAGTCATTGAAAAATTGGCAAATAACAAAATATCACAGGAAATAAATTATCCTTCAATTTTTCTGTTTCTTTTCAAAAATGAATTTGCAATTGTAGAATTGAATTCAAAGAAAAAGTTTAAGAGTTTTTCACTTCATATTCACTTTTCCACCATTGGATTTAAATTTTAAAAAGTTTTTCACCTCAAACAAGAAGTATGGAAGTTTTGTTTCAAGTGCTTTCTTGTGGTTTCCATTATTTCATAACAAGTCACGTGTTACTTTTTTGTTTCATTGATTACACGTGAGTTATTCTAATTGCCTTGATTGTTTTAAATTGTTTATAAAATATCCACATCAACTTTCGGGCCGTTCACTTATGACGTCCAGGGGGGGTTCAGCAAGAAAAGAACAATAGAAATTTTAGGAAATCCATTGTTCTTTTGTGAAAAATGACCGTTAAATTCGGACGTCATAAGTGAACGACCCCTTATGTATTCATAGTTTTAAAAGATTAGCTGCTTAGTCAATAATAAATCGATGCATTTAAAATTATTCTCCTTTTGGGTGCAGTTTAATAATATCATACGAAGCCTTTCCATCCCCATAAAAAAAATATAAATATATCAATTTTAACTTTTTTGAGTCATAAAATGAGAAGTTTAACGTAATAAATAAAATTCAAATAAAAATCTTATTTTTGTGATATATTTTGTCACTTCTTCCCACTTCTTCCTATCTTTGCTATTACTACAGATGTTTATGCTATAATGATTCTCTTTTCTAGTTTCTCATTCTCTCAATTTGAATATTTCCATGGAATTTGCAATGAGGCTTTAACTATCTATCTAGCTATTCATCTTTCCATAGTTTTTCTTCTCTTCATATGTGCTATGCATTTAAAGATAAAAGAATAGAGCTCGAATGATTTTATTCTATTTGTCAGAGATGTGAAATCTATTATTGACTGTATGTGCTGCATTTTATTATTATTGTGATCATCTACATTTCTTTCCGTCGCTTTCTTCTTCTTCCCCTTTTTATATCACTGATTTGTTTGTTTTTTTCTAGACAACTAAGCAATTTACATATATGAAAATAATATTAAAACGTTTCTATAAAGAGAGAATATCAGCGCATTTTTCGACTCTATATTTGTCATTAACAATCGATCAAAAAAATTTATAATTTAAATCAAGTAAAAGATTCTTTTCATGGACTCTAGATTTTCAAGCAAGAATTATGTATAAAATACTTTACGAACCCCTCTTCCAAAATTAAGTTCCTAGTTCAAAATCTATCAAATCAATAACACTACATATGTGCTTCATCTCCCAATATATGCTAAGAAAATCTAGTTGTGCATATAAAGATTCTCCAAAATTACTTATCTTTACTTTTTTTATGGCTGTTTTCTTGAAAATATGTCTGCTCCATAGGCTGTAACCATGAGTAAGTCTATGAAATGTTTATATCAAATGACATAAAACGTGTGTCAAGATTGATTTGTAAGAGCTTTTAAATAAAATCCGACACATTACTAACACAATTGTTTTTTATTTAAAACTTTTGAAGACATATTCTAAAGTTTCAATGGTTATTAAGCTTATAAAAACTGATAAAAACAATGAAAGTAATTTGACTCTCTGGATTAAAATGTTTGAGAAAAATACTAGACTCTTCCATGTAAAGTATTTCATTAACTTCAAAAATCAATGATGTTCTGTACGAACATAAGAAGCTGAGATTTTTGAAATCTCTCATCAAGGGTGTGGAACTGAAAAATTACATTTTGATTTTTGATCATTTTTGTTCATTTTTGATCATTTTTTGATCATTTTTGATAATTTCATCAGTTCAGCACCCTTGTCTCTGATTTCAGCAAAACCAATGAGTATCTATAACATGCAGCATTTAAAAACAAAATGAATTGCTTAAAAATTATATAGTTTTTTACCTCAATTGAAGTTGATAAAATTAGCTTATATAAGTACTAAGAGTAGCTTGACTAAAATTTTAGAATTTTAACTCAGACAATCATAGATCAATAGGATGTCTGCTACATTAATTATCATATAAACGGAAAAAAAATTGAGAACACTGAAAAGGCTGAACTCAGATGACTATAAAATTACAATGTAATTAAACCTTTTGTTGTCGATTAATGACTGTGTCATATGGAAGACAATTAAAATCATTAAGCAATTTTTTTCGGTTTAACGAGATCCATTAAATATTTTTCGATCAATCTCATCCTCTTTCCTTTTCAACTCTCATATTTTATAAACATTATAATAAACACATATTTCATAATATTAATAAAAATGGGTTAAATGATATGAACGTAGATAAATGAGTACATAAATATGATTACGAAAAATAAATATATGAAAGGCAAATATCCATCAGCTTACTGACAGTTATTGTCTGTTAAGTAATTAAATATTGTCATGTTTAACAAATTATTAGCGGTTCTGACTCATGCTCATATTGTTAATGTTTAAAATTACAGTAATATTATAAAGGTCACTGGAAATTCGTGATTTAATCCTTTATTGATTTTTAAGCATTTAATCAGTATTGATTTCACGTGAATCGACTGATTTCCATATCCTCACAACAACTTTCTGTAACCGACTCAACATAATTGTTCTCAACCAACTTCCATTTACATGAATATGATGTCTCTTTAAGGCTCTTCTGAAAGACATAATAACAAAAATTTACAAGGCGTGTCTGCTCTTCATTTAGTAGGTGGTTGATTAAATTCAAGGGACGAAACTCATCCAATGTAAATTGGTTTTGTTGCATGCTCTTTCCTTTTAAACAGAACAGTCTTTGTTTGTATTTTCTATCGATTCATAACCCTATAAAAAAGATTGTAGCACTTTATGATGTCATGCTTGAGTACAGTCAAAATGTCTTCGATGTCTGCCAACATTTTTTTTTGAGTTGTCATCTGGATGAACATTTGCTTTGGAAGTGCTCAACAATTTGTTTTGGAATTTACTTGCATGACATGCAGAAATTGTAGGATCAAGAATGTGTAGATTGCTAATAAAATTGGTTTGAAGTGATATTTTCAGTTGAAATAGGTCGTTTATAAATGACGTCCTTAAAAATTGAGATTCATAGAGCCTATCTCCACACATTCAATCTACCAAAAAAGAGACATAACTGATGGGCAGAAAATGATCAAAATTGAGATGTTAGGACAAAAATGCAAATTATTAAAGGGGTTAATTCCTTTAGATAAAGTATGTAAACACTCTTGACCATTATCAATTCTTCCTCTTTGAAAGGGTTTCATTAAAAGGATGCTCTTCAAACAATATTTAAAATTCAAATGTCACAATTTCAACCTAGTTTAATTTCATTTTATTAATTGACTTTTATTATTCGTTATTTCAGGAAATGTATCGACGATGGGTTTGCAGTACATTTATTCCATATTTTGGAACGCAAAATGATATTAAATCAGATCCATTGCCCGAGACAACAACTACATCTGTACAATCAACGAATAACAATGTTATGAATAATATCGACAGTAAAGCACAAAAAATGTTTATGCAAGATCGCATTCTAGAGGACTCCAATGAAATAAAGAGGTAATTTCATTATGACCTACCCTTCATTCATTTACTGTCGCTGATTTATTTTTCATTGTAAAATTGCATTTGTGCAATTCACATTTTTTTTTCTCATCCATTTTATCATTGTGCTGTATTTCATGCTTTTCATTTTTCTCATATTTATTTATAATAGGTCAAGAAGAAAAGCTCGCATGGAACAGAAACGAATTCGAATACGACCGTGTATAAGTGTATGTCAAAAGGTTGAACAGATATGCCCATATATGTTGCCTGCTGATCGCGCTCCTGCCTATCCCACTCAGTACGCTGGTGAACCAACGTTCTTTTGCCTCGGTGAGTAAATCTTAATGTATTTTGTGCTTTAGTTCTTTATCACTTCAGTCATGAATTTATGAGATTAAAATTAATTGAATTTTTGCGATCTTTAGACGCTCTTTATTTTTTAATCGGAGTTTTGAGATTAAATAAGAAATAAGCATTAGAGACTCTCACTTATGATGTCCGATGTTAACAGTCATTATTCAAAAAAGAACAATGATATTCTAGGATTTTCGAACCCCCCTTCCCTGGACATCTTTAGAGAACGGTCCCTTAAAATAGACTCTCTAAATTCCTTCAATTATTAAATCTTTAAATTATACCGCACGTACGGGAAATAGTATAGTTCTTCAATTTATAAAATATCAATTAAAAAGCATGTTAAATGCTGAAAATGATTGAATTCCAATTCAGACTTTCATGATTTTCATAAAAAAATAAGAACTAAATGTATAGGTATGGAAATGAATGAAACTCTAAGCATAAGAATCCTTGACCCATTACAAATCATTGAGGTCGATCATCATCATGAATTCATGACTTTATGAGAGACTGAAGAGACGAGAAAAAAAATGAGAGAGAATCGAGAAAAACTTTTTATTCATTGACTCTTTTTCTTTTTCCATTGTTCTCATTTTAGATCCCAACATCGATGAGACTGGAAATCAGTTATATAAATCGAATCATGGTCCATCAGAATGCTGCTACGAGTATTGCAAACATGAAGATGGATTATGTTCGAGTAAATGCGATCCTATATTCAATATTAACAATGAAACTGCCATCATAGCCGATCGCAATCGTTCAAATACATCGAAGCATCATACAAACGAGACGAAATCGGATCCTTCTATGAATCAAACGCCAAATCTATTTGTCAAACTAGACAATGGAACGTATGTACTAAATGATTATAGTAATATGCCTGATATGAAGGACATGCAATGTAACATACTCTATAACATCACACAATCAACGCAACATTGTTCAATATCACAAGCGCAAGTTGCTGCTGTCAAATCTAGCGCAAATTCTTTTAACTACTATCCCTCGTCATCATCATCATCATCCGTTATATCAATTTTAATTCAACATCTAACAACTTATAATAATCTTATTGATAATTATAATGATAAATATGATAATAATAATTATAACAAAGGAAGTAATCATCATGATAATGGTAATGACAACAACAACATCAATAGAAACAACAACAGTTTTACCTATCAGCACCTAAATCTAGTCGAAAAAATTTCAATCAAATGCATTGTCGCACAGCTAATAAGCCATTGGACGAATCTTGTGTGGAATTTAATGAAAGTTATAGCACTACAACTAATATTGCTCCAACTTGCCACCGGATCATAGTTTTTGAATGAAACATACGACATATTTTGTACGAAATAAATAATAACGCATTCGGAGCGAATTCGAAATAAATAAAATATATAACAAAAAAAAGTAAAAAAAAATTGAATCGCGCGCGCGCAGACTGCAATCATTCGAGCAAACAGCACCAAAAAAGCACCACATATACATGACTATACGACGACAAGTGGTGGTGATATGTTGAACAAAAAAAAAGAAATGAAATGAAATGAAAAAAATAATAATGATGAAAAAAAAGTGTATTTGTGTGTGAACATCATTATTCTCATCATCGTCATCATTTATGAATGGTTACGATGAGGATGCACATTAAAATTGAACAATTTATTTTTGTCTCTTTAACACACATACACACAAATGTATTGAGAATTTCACACATCTACGATGAGACATAATATACTTGAAATGAAAAAAAAAAATGTTGAAAAATTTTAATGAATGAAGCAAAAAAAACGTGGAAATTTTTTTCTCACGGAAATTTTTATGGACCACGAAAAAAAAATGTTAAATGTGAACTTAAAACCCCGAAAATGATGCAAAAATTTTTAAAAATATGAAAACAAGTGAATGCAGGCACAAGAATTTTATCTTTTATCCCTGTTATGGAATGGACAAATAGTGAAAAAAAAATAAATTAACGGATATTTTTGTTCTATTGTTTCAAAAATTAAGAAAAAAAATCCGTTTAAAAGTGAAAAAAAAAATTTTAACATAAAAAAACAATATAAAAAATTTAGGTGAAAATTAATTATTAAAAAATAACAGTTCTTAGTTAAGGATGATAAATAAAATGTTTTTATTAAGTGAAGCACAAAAAAAAACTAATGAAAAAATTTTAGAGCATGGTGTGAAAGTGAAGGAAAATAATTATTAGTCCGTCAATTTATACATAAAGAAAGCTGTTAATTAGGAAACAAAAAAAAATATTGTAATTAAAACTCTTCATGAAGGCACAAAAGTAAATGAAAAATGAGGACGCTAAGAAGGATATTCAGTAAATCTCGAGTGAGTAAAGTGTGACAAAGAGAAATAACAAAAGGCAGATCAGGATTTTCCATCATCAGCGACAGAGAAAAAAAAATATCATCATCGATCATTAAGTCAGTCATTGAAATTTAATGGAAAATGGAACACACATACAAATATATACAAACGCAAAAGTCGAGAATGAAAAAAAGGAAATTTTTTTTTTTGTGTTTCTCTTCCCTTAAGAGAGAATCGAGAAAAAAAAAGAAATGAATTATATAACCTTTTCAATGAGAACGAAAAACGGAAGCTGAAAAAATTTTCCTATATTTCCATGATATCAGCAGAAAGTTTTTTTTTGCCTGCTTGATTTTTTTTTCCGTATTTGAAACACAAAATAAAGTGAACATACATTATACAGTTGGATAGATAATTGAGCTATTGAATAAGTACAACATATAAAATTTTTATATGCTGTCGAATGGAATGTATAAATGCTAAAAAAAATTGGGGTGTCCATAGATGGCTCTTGATAAGAAAGAGCAGACTTTCGAGTGGAAATCTTTAACGAAGTCATAAGAAAATTCGAATCTATCAAGAATAACTTTTCATTGTCATACAATAATCGTTTTGATGCTTAAGACATAAAATCGACTTAAAAACAATTTTTTTATAAATTAATTAAATAAGGAGTCGTTCATTTATGATGTTTAGGAATGTGGAGGAAGTTCAGGTTCATGTCAAAAAAAGAGATTTTTTTATCTGACAAAGTGAACGACCCCTTAAGAGATTTGAAAATGAGTACAGGGTATAAAATAAAATTTCAAATTAATTTTTTTCAAGTTGTGGACACCCTAAAAGCTATTATGAAGGGATTGACAAGAAATGAAATTTCTGTCTATTTTATAAATGAAAATTTCATTGCAAATGATAAATGAAGAGAAAAAGATGATGATGATGATGATGATGAAAAAGGAAGAAAAAGTATGCCATGTTATGTAATGCTTTGAAAATTGCCTCACAGATTTATATAATAATTTTTTTCTCTATCTTTATTGAAAGAAGAAATGTGTCATCTCCACGCTGATATTTATGTATGTGAGGATAATAAATGCACATACATAATGTATTATATTCTCGCTTTTAAAAACGGAACGAAAATATTGTCATATATGTGTGAGATGATGATTTTACCTTGAGATGATGCATTTTGTTCTGGTTGCATCTCAAAATATTCTTCAAACCATCATTTCCTTCAAGATTCTTCTTTTTATTCCATCATGGTAATAAAAAATTTCTTAAGGAAAAATAAATCTTGAACATATTTTTTTGTTCTCCCTCAAAAAAAACTTTCATTTATGTATTTATTTAGATATATGAAAAACTTTTATTTTTCAAAATGTGTTGAAGAAGACATGGAAGTGGCGAAGAAGGAGGAAACTAAAGAAAAAGTTTACTTTTGATGGAAGTTGTGGGGAGAAAAAGAAAACTTTCGAAAATGTAATAAAGGAAGATTTTATTCGGAATATCAAAGTGAATTTTTATTTCTCGATATATCAGCAATGAGAGTGGTAATATTTCGCCCACACAAATTTTTATTGTACTTACATATGACTAGAAATTGAGAAACTTTTCTTTTCTCACCGCTCTCGCTCTCATTTGACTGACTTATCAGTTTCTCTATCTCTCTCGTCTTCCTTTTTCATATCAAATGTAACGCACATACTCACAAATACAACTGAGTGTTTTTTATCTATATAAAAAAAATGAAAGAAGCTTAAACTACAACTAGTCTAGAAAATGTAAGAGAAAATAAATTCATACAGGCATAATGTTATGCAAAATGTCCTCACAATCATTTATTTTTTTTCACTTCAGGAAAAAGATTGTGGGTCAATGTTGTCTATCTCTCTCCTTTTTCTCTTTACACACATTTATGACAGCAAAAAAAATTGAGGAAATGGCATAATTTTCTTTCATTTTCATTTAATTTGATATCATTAAATCTAATTATCAGGAAAAATGTGAATCTCTTTCTCTGTCTCTCTCGTTTAAAGATTTAGTTTCACATCATACGGGTGATAGGGTTTAATATGGATATGTGATGGGGAAAATTGTATGCTGGTGCATGATGAAAATTTTATTCATCAAACATTTAATTTTAATTTCTTCTAAATTGACGAAAAGTTTAATTTTTTCAAGTTTTCTTTCAACAATTGGATATGGAATAAGGTCTTTAAATTGAGGAACTTGATTCTAAATCTAGATTTGAATTTTCGGACGTAAAAATTGAAATTGAGAACATTATCGAAGAATATAGATTGATAAGAACATAAAAAGCATTATTATATAAATTGCAGGTTTCAAACTTGACCCAGACGCTTAAATTTGCGTCTCTCAAATACTAAATTAACTTCTACTCGAGCCACTAGCTTTGCACAAAAACAAAATCTATATAAAATAAAATCAATTTAACAAAAATTAAGTCAAAAGATTCAAGTTTGAATTCTAAAGAATGTTTTTAATTCACCAGCATACAAACCTCAATCCACATTGATTACCAGCAGAATCTTGAATACAAAAAGTTTTGAGAAAAGAAAAATATTTTGATTTTACAAGAACAAAAACAAAAGAAAACTAGAATTAAAAAGTAGTTCAAGGATTTCTCCATGCAATATCGACCTAATTTTCTAATGTAGCATTATTTTTTCAGCTTTCAGTTTAATTTTCATATAGGGGAAGAGAAGGAATGGAAAAAAAACAAATGCAGAAAATGTAGTTAAAAAATTCATAGGAAATTTAAAAAAATCCAAGAGAAACTGCCAATTTGAAATTTAAAAAAAAATAAAATGAAAAAAATAGGATTTTAAAATTTAAAAAAAGCATAGAAAAGAATTTTTCCCAACTAATTTCATCTCCGTTCTCATTTCTGTAAAAAAAATTTAAATAAAAATGAATTTTCCTTCCAATAAAAGAAACACAAAATTGTATTAAGGAACAAATTCAGCAAAAAAAACTTAAAAAACCATTAAAAGTTAAGTAAAGTTTGGAAACAGTGAAATAAAAGTAATAAGATAAAATGAAAACACATTGAGGCATGATGAAAAAGTTATTTAGATAATTGCTAGGAATATACGTGTTTGTAGGTGAAAAACAATTTATAAATCAACTTGTAGCGAATCTTCTTAATAAAAAATGAAAAAAAAAAACAACATAAAAATCAAATAAGATGGAATAACTTAACATAGGAAACGTGCGACTGTTTATTTGAAAATAAAAACATAAAATTTGTGTTAACATTTTTTTAAAGTAGGTTTTATTGAAAGGTTCTGATGACTGTATGATTTGAAATAAATTTAACTTTTAATTCACAACCTTACAGTCGCCTGAACATTTTTCACGAATATCTATATAATATCTTTATAATAAAATAGAAAAAAAATTAATCAATGAATGAATACGAAGATAATTATTGCGGGTATCTTTCATGCACTCAAACTATCAACTTTTTCTTTTATCTGATTAAAATTTGCTTTAAATTGTGCTAGGGGAAGAGAATTTATTGTGAAGGATTTTTACATAAAGCTTGAAGGTTTTGGTTCAAGGATATTTGGAGTAGAAAATTTTATGTGAAAGTAAGCTATAAAATTCCTTGGAGAATAAAAGAGTCTGTTGCTGGAATTTTTATTGTGTTTGTAATCTTATAAAATTTACATTCTGGTTTCTTTTGAACAGATGTGACTTTTAGTGGGTATAACCATTCAATCAAATGCAGGATATTTAGTTTTACATTCAGCTAAGGCGTCATTTTCAAATGACGTTCTTTAAAATTATATTCATTTAAAAATCAAGGTTTATTTAGTCACTCGAAGGACACACGAACAAGAAAATCATTTGATATGGCTGTCTTTGCCTAATTTGTGTCATTCAGACTACACACCTAGTTGTGTGTAGTTAAACTAATATTCATAAAACTTCTTCTAGCCAATAAAGAAGATTGTCATCATTCAATAAAAATCGTTTATTATTTTCTGCAAAACATGAAAGTCATGAATTCTATGATAAAATAGTTAACCACGATACATGTAAAATAAGTCAACATAATGAAATGAATCAAGAATGTTTAAATTGAATATAAAAAAGTTGAAAAGTAAATTTTAAGCTGTAAAAATGAATAAACCAAAACTTAAAATTGATGCAAAAGGAGAATAAAAATGCAAAGAATTTATTTAGAATGATAAGAACTAACACAACAAGAAAAATTTATGATAAATCTAAAGCAAAGTAATTTTGGGCAGAGTTTGAAAATAAAATGAAAATTGCTCTATTTTGAAAATAAATCAAAATGAAAATAATGAAAATTGCCAATTTTGATCAAAGCAATTTTGCCATTTTGTCAATTTCAGAAAATTGTTATTTTGAAAATTGTTTATTTTCGAAAATTGCAATTTTGGAAATTATAAATTTTCAATTTTGTGACGTCACAAAATTTCTTCGGGAATTTTGTATGAAAATTTTCATATGAATTG